TTCGTTTCAATTGGTTCAGCTTGAGGATGTGGACAGGATCCTTGGAGAGGTGCGACCCACCACATGCATCCTAGACCCCTGCCCTTCCTGGCTGATCAAGGAAGCCAGAGGGGGTTTGGCAGAGTGGGTGAAGGTGATGGTTAATGCCTCCTTACAGGAAGGAAAATTTCCAGCGAGCTTAAAACAAGCTATTATAAAACCGCTGTTGAAGAAACCATCACTGGATCCCACTCAATTCGACAACTATCGGCCTGTTTCCAATCTCCCCTATTTGGGCAAGGTCATGGAACGTGTGGTGGCAACACAACTCCAGGGGTTTCTGGTAGACACTGATTATCTAGACCCGGCACAGTCTGGCTTTAGGCCGGGACATGGAACTGAGACAGCCTTGGTCGCCTTGGTAGATGATCTGTGCAGGGAACTAGACAGGGGGAGTGTGTCCCTGTTAGTTCTGCTGGACCTCTCAGCGGCCTTCGATACCGTCGATCACGGTATCCTTCTGGGCCGCCTCATGGATATGGGGCTCGGAGGCACTGCTTTGCGGTGGCTTCGATCCTTCCTTGAGGGACGGACCCAGAAGGTGTTATTGGGTGACACCTGTTCGGCCCCACAACCGTTGTTGTGTGGAGTCCCACAGGGTTCAATCTTGTCCCCGATGTTATTTAACATCTACATGAAGCCACTGGGGGATATCATTCGGAGTTTCGGAATGAGATGTTATCTCTACGCAGATGATGTCCAAATCTGTCACTCCTTTCTCTCACCTGTCACCAAGGAGGCTGTCCAGACCTTGAACCGGTGTTTAGCCGCTGTATCGGACTGGATGAGAGCTAACACATTGAAATTGAATCCAGACAAGACAGAGGTCCTACTGGTCAGTCGGAAGGCCGAACAGGGTATAGGGTTACAGCCTGTGTTAGATGGGGTTACACTCCCCCTGAAGATGCAGGTTCGCAGCTTGGGAGTGATCCTGGATTCATTGCTGAGCCTGGAACCCCAGGTCTCAGTGGTGGCCGGGAGAGCTTTCGCACAATTAAAACTTGTGCGCCAGCTGCGCCCGTACCTTGGGAAGTCGGATCTGGCCACGGTGGTCCACGCTCTTGTCACATCCCGGTTGGATTACTGCAACGCACTCTACGTGGGGTTGCCTTTGAAGACTGCTTGGAAACTTCAACTAGTCCAGCGAGAAGCAGCCAGATTGCTCACCAGAGCGGCGTACAGGGAGCACACCACCCCCCTGTTGCGTCAGCTCCACTGGCTGCCGATCCAATTCCGAGCACAATTCAAAGTGCTGGTTTTGACCTACAAAACCCTATACGGTTCCGGCCCAGTGTATTTGTCCGAACGGATCTCCCTCTACATCCCACCTCGAAGTTTAAGATTTTCTGGGGAGGCCCTGCTCTCGACCCCGCCAGTGGCACAAGTGAGGCTGGCGGGGACGAGGAGCAGGGCCTTCTCAGTGGTGGCCCCTCACCTGTGGAACTCACTCCCCGGGGAGATCAGATCGACGACTTCCCTTCTAGCGTTTAGGAAAAAACTAAAGACCTGGATGTGGGACCAAGCTTTTGGCCATGCTGACAACTAACTAAAGGACCTGTCGATAGACAAGGACAATGGAATGGAATGGATATATGGACTCTGATATATGGACTCTGACATGAGATAGTTTTTATGATTTTATTAGGTATTGATGTTTTATTTTAATTGTTGAATTGTTATATTTTGTATTGTTTGTTGTGTGTTTTGGGCATCTAATTGTGCCTTTCCTGTAAGCCGCCCTGAGTCCCCCTCGGGGTGAGAAGGGCGGGGTATAAGTAGATGAAATAAATAAATAAATCACCCCTGACAGATGGCCATCCAGCCTCTGTTTAAAAGCTTTCAAAGAAGGAGCCTCCACCACACTCCGGGGCAGAGAGTTCCACTGCTGAATGGCTCTCACAGTCAGGAAGTTCTTCCTCATGTTCAGATGGAATCTCCTTCTTGTAGTTTGAAGCCATTGTTCGCGTCCTAGTCTCCAGGGAAGCAGAAAACAAGCTTGCTCCCTCGTCCCTGTGGCTTCCTCTAACATATTTATACATGGCTATCATATCTCCTCTCAGCCTTCTCTTCTTCAGGCTAACATGCCCCTCTTCCAATTCTACAGCACTGCTGGTCACAGCTGACCTCCAGCTGGAGCGCTCAAGGGCCAGGGCTTCCCAGTTCTGTCTATGCCAGAGTTTTTAAGGTTGTTTTTGAGCCCATCTTTAAATTTCTTTTCCTGTCCACCAATATTCCGTTTTCCGTTCTTGAGTTCGGCGTAAAGCAACTGCTTTGGGAGACGGTGGTCAGGCATCCGGACAACGTGGCCGGTCCAGCAGAGTTGATGGCGGAGGACCATTGCTTCAATGCTGGTGGTCTTTGCTTCTTCAATCTTGGACAACTACGCTGTTTCAGACTCAGGAAAGCAATTCTTGGAATAAATCTTGCCCCCAAAAACCCTATGATGGAGATGTATGGAGTCATAGAATCATAGAATCAAAGAGTTGGAAGAGACCTCATGGGCCATCCAGTCCAACCCCCTGCCAAGAAGCAGGAATATTGCATTCAAATCACCCCTGACAGATGGCCATCCAACCTCTGTTTAAAAGCTTCCAAAGAAGGAGCTGCCACCACACTCCGGAGCAGAGAGTTCCACTGCTGAACGGCTCTCACAGTCAGGAAGTTCTTCCTCATGTTCAGATGGAATCTCCTTGGAGTCACAGTAGACATAACAGCAATCATAAAAGCATAACTCCCAGAAATCCTTATTGGTCCAAGTATCGTTATTCATTCCAAAAGGAAAGAGAAATGTTAAAAGCTTTGGGTTTTGTTTTTTTGTAAGACAGTATACAAGGTAGCTTGAGAGAGGAACAAATTCTATTTTTTGGCACAGTTTGGCAAAGCAGATAATAATTTTAGCCAAAATAAAATCTGTCCTTTCTATGTCATTTTTTTGCAACATTATGTCTCTTGAAAAAGTAAGAAATATCCATAATTGCATATTGCAAGAAGGCAGAATAACTGGACCACCAGTAATTGTGGCTACCTGTATGCATCCAAATTAAATTGGGGACAGGAGAGAGAAATATATATATTTATTTATTTCTCTCTCCTGTCCCCAATTTAATATGAATGCACACAAATTATTTGAATGCATACAAATTATTTCTCCATGTCACAGTTTGGCCATAGGTTGTTGCAGGTCTTGGTGTGTGTGTGTGTTATAGTTCACCTACCTCCAGAAAAAAACTGTGGACTCAAATAATGATGGATCTGGACCCAACTTGGCATGAATATTCCATATGCCCAAATATGCACACAGATGGAGTTTGGGGGGAAATAGACCTTGACACACACACATACACACACATATATAGTACCAAGACCTGCAGCAACCTATGGTCAAACTGTAGCATGGAGAAATAATTAGTTCCTGTCTCCACATGTTTCAACTTCACATGAAACAAGTCGTATTTTACTTAATGATGGTATTCCTTCCCTTTCACCATCACTTTGGGTCACTCATAATGCTTTACTTATTCACATAATTATATGAGCCATGTAGCATAGCCCAATCTTCCCAGTGATAAAGGCGAAAATAGACTGTTTTAATATATTGTTATAACAACTGAAATCTTCGCATTACATTCCCATACTTCATTCTGCAAGTATTTTCTTGAATATGAAGAAAAGAACAATTTTCCCATATAGATCATGATGCTCTCTATAGAGAAAATTATATGTGATGAAGCCCTTGTTGTAACATGTTCAGAGTTTGTTAGAGAGTTGTTTTGTTTTGTTTTGTTTTGTTAGTGTGTGTGGACTATATCTATAATGGCCAAAGGGAAATTCTTGGAGCTTTAGTTATAAAAAAGTAATTTTCCAGGCTCTGATTTTAGGAAGAGATGTTTGAGCCGGTGCTGCACTATTGTAACTGCACTGCCTTATGAGAGAGGCTTTGTGTGGTAAGAGCCAAAGCTTCTAGATAGGATTAAGGATTTTTTGCTTCAAAAGGTTTATTTCCAGGTAATGGGAAGAAAATTGTGGCCAAAATAAAGGCTTCAGCAGACTTTGATAAGGCAGTGTTGGAAATGGCTGTGCTTTTGTGCTTAGGATTTTAAAAACATCTGTTTGAATCCTTTTAAGTTTCAAGGTATTTTATTACTGAGCAATGTCTGGATATAAATTGCATTTTTCAAAAAGGATGGTACATCTTTTTCTTATAGGCCGAGGTGGAGGAAACCCTGAAGAGAATTCAGAGTCAAAAGGGAGTTCAAGGGATCATTGTTGTCAATACAGAAGGTATTGTACAACTAAGATTTTGGGGTTATTGTTGTTGTTGAGGATAATGATAATGATGATGATAATAATAATAATCATAATAATAATAATAATCTGCACTGTCATCTTCCATTTGGGGGCAAGTCTATGTCTCTGTACCATTTTTCTTTGGTGGAAGTGTTAAGTATTGTTTAGCACATTGGGAATTATCTTTGGGTAATAAAAATAAGCATTTATTTTTAAGGCTTTAGTCCTTTCAACTCTTAGGTTGAAGTATGGTGAGTTACAGGAAACATTTATCTTCTATGTTTCAAATGCTTCAATAGCTATTGAACTGATTTTAAGCACAATTCATAATGCCCTATATGGCTTGGTGCCAGACTATCTGAAATAATGCATCTCCCATATGAAACTGCCCAGGTTTTAATATCTTTGAGGGAGAGCATTGCTGCTGAGTGAACATTTGTAGGGTTCTTCTATACCTCAAATACTGCCACAACACTCAAGTTGAAAGGAGTTGACTTAGCACCTTACTTGATGAATTACGATAACATTGTCTACTGCAGTGCCTCTGAACTATACCGCCTCCATAATTTGCTCTTCCTTGAGGAAGTGACTACTCATTTTGGCCAAATAGAGTCCATTGAAAATGCAAACCATGCTATCACAAGAGCACCATCATTTCCATTATGAAACAACATTTTCTGTGTCTATGAGACTGGTAAGGTAAAGGTAAAAGTTTTCCCCTAACATTAAGTTCAGTCGTGTCCGACTCTGGGATGTTGTGCTCATCTCCATTTCCAAGCGAAAGAGCTGGTGTTGTCCGGAGATACCTCCAAGAACATGTGGCTGGCATGACAACATGGAGCACCTTTACCTTCCTGCCGGAGCGGTACCTATTGATCTGCTCACATTTGCATGTTTTCGAACTGCTAGGTTGGCAGAAGCTGGGGCTGACAGCAGAAGCTCACGCCGCTCCCCGGATTTGAACCTGCGACCTTTTGATTAACAAACTCAGCAGCTCAGCGGTTTAACCCTCTGCACCATCAGGGGCTTTGAGACTGACACACATTATTTTATATTCAGCCAATTACATTTGTATTTGCTTCAGCACCTGCAATTCTCATGCTTTTATGGTTATAACATGGTTATTAGTTCATTACATTTCCAAAATTAAAATATTAACTTCCTCTTAATATAAGAAACCAGAAACCCAACCTTATAGAAAACCAAAGGGTTAAAAAAGGCGAGGCAGTCTTTGCTTTAGTCAAATATTTTGTAAATACATGAAAATTGGCTTTTTACATGGAAGTCAATAGTTCCTGTTAAGATTCTCTAAGAATAAACATAAATACAGATTTATAAACATAGGTTTCAAATATTCTAGTTAAATGTTTATTGTCAAAAACCTAATTCTGTTTGTTATTATCCAGAACTAAATGGCCTAAATATCCCGAAGGCACAAGATCTCATCTGATCTTGGAAGCTAAATAAAGTCAGCTTTGGTTAGTAGTTGGATGGGAGAACACCAATGAATACTAGGTGCTGTAGGAAATATTTCAGGAAAGGAACTTTGCCTGAGAAAAACCTGCTTAAATTAATGGCATAGCCATAAGTTGACAGGGGACTTGAAGGCATTTGCACATACTGAATTTAGGCACCTTCCACACAGCTGAATAAAATCCCACAATATCTGCTTTGAACTGGAGTGTGCACTCAGATAACACAGTTCAAAGCAGAAATTGTGGAATTTTCTGCTTTGATATTCTGGGTTATATGGCTGTGTGGAAGGGCCCTCGGTAAATTGTGCATCAGATTTGAAACCCAAGTTCCTTTCATACTGATGTTCTGTGCTGTTGTCTGATATAAACATACAGAATTACTCGGTTTTATAAAATGCCTGAAATGAGGTTTTCTGTTCTTTTGTATTCATCAGTAGAAGGCGTCTGGTCCAGTTTCCCAAGTCGCTCCTGACATTGAAAAAAGGGGGGGAAAAGATCAGCAGAAGGAAAGTTGATCCCACCTGCCTGCTGGGTACCATTACTCTGCAGGCAGGTGGGATGAAATGGAAATCCCTGTTACATAGATTACCATTGAAATTACTTTGTGTATAAAGGGATTTGATATCAAATGCATTTAGTGAATGCTGATGTTCTGGATTAAGTTTTCCTTTATCAAATAATGTCTCAACCTAACTTACCCACATAATGTTTTTGTGTTGCAGGTATTCCTATCAAAAGCACCGTGGATAATTCCACCACAATGCAGTATGCAGGCTTAATGCACAACTTAATCATGAAGGCAAGGAGCACTGTGCGAGATATTGATCCGCAAAATGACCTCACGTTCTTGCGGATTCGCTCCAAAAAGAATGAAATCATGGTTGCTCCAGGTAAACAAATAGAGAGCCTTACATGAATGGGATTGTGGTTCATTGCTAAGTCCGTCTTCAGATGTTAAAAAAAACAAACAACCCAAACCATGATTTTAAAAGGGCGTAAATACCATAAGGGTTTCAGCTCTTGCATTAGAAGCTATGCAGGATCTGTTGTAGTTATGTATTTACAGCATTTATATTCTGCCCTTCTCACTCCGAAGGGGACTCAGGGTGGATCTTAGAACACATGCACGGCAAACATTCAATGCAGAGAGACAGAGGTATGTGTTGGCATTTTCCAACTTCGGCGTCCTGGAGGTTATGCTCAATTCCGGCCACAGGGGGGTGCTGTCGCTCCATCCTCGTATGACGGCGAGCCTTTTGCTCACCGACTTTCCTCCCATTCTTTGATTGCCAGATTTTTTATACCTCCTCGCATAAGGGGTGCCTAATTTCTCTACTCACAGCTCACAGCTGTTTTCGAACTGCTTAGGTGGGCAGTAAGCTTAGGCTGAAGTTTGGGTGCTCACCCCAACCTGGGCTCGAACTGCCAACCTTTTGGTTGGGAAAGATCTATTGCTGCTGGTGATTAACCAGCTGTGTTAAGGCCTGGCCCAGAAGACTGCCAGTGAATACCTACATCTCATAGGTAGGAAATAGCAAAACTGCCTCTGAGTATTCATTATTTGAGAAAATGCTCCAAAAATAGTCATGGGGTTGCTTAAGTCAATGGGCAGTTTGGAGGCACACAGATAATTAGTTTAAACTGTGATTGTGTGGTTGTATCTGTCCTTTCAGATGGAGTGGGGGATTAACCGTGTTAGCTGAAGCAAAAGCAAGAGTCTTATGACCCCTTCAAAGCAAACAAACTGTATTTGGCATATGTTTCTGTTGTAAAGTGGTGGTTCTCAGCCTTTTCATGTTCACTACGTTTTAAACTTTAGCTCCCAGAATTCTTAACCACTGACCATTCCGCCTGGGTATTCTGGGGAATTCAGTCCAAAGCATCAGGACAACCGGTGTTTGAGATCCACTTTTCAAAATTGTTCCTCAATCCTTGAGTAGTTTTAGAGGACTGTAGTTTTGGTGGAAACCAGGAAACTCAGTAACATGCATTTGTCTCAGAGTCCTGGAAAATGTTTTTCATTATGAAGCCCATATATGTGTAAAATGATGACATCGGCACTGAGGTCTTCTAGGATCCTCTGAATCTGAATAGTGGTTCTCAACCTGGGGTCTCCAGATGTTTTTGGCGTACAACTCCCAGAAATCCTAACAGCTGATAAACTGGCTGAGATTTCTGGGAGTTGTAGGCCAAAAACATCTGGGGACCCCAGGTTGAGAACCACTGTGCTAGACTGAGACCTACAGGATTGCATTTATGGAAGATCACATCATTCCCACTCCTGGACTAGAATCTTTATGTATGAGCTAATATTACCTGGAGAAGATTTGTTAATAATTACTTTGTTTTCTTACAGATAAAGACTACTTCCTGATTGTCATTCAGAATCCAACAGAGTGAAAATTCTGCAATTCCGTATCTATAAATGCCATTTCTTAATTTAATATCTCCCAAAGCTGGTAGTGACTGCTTGTGCCACATTCATAATATGTAAAAAAAAAAACCTCTTTAAAATATTAAGCAATTTGTTTAATGAGTCTCTTCAAATAACGGCATTCTATGAAGAAGATGAAATGAAATAAGTATGACTAAAGTCTCAAAGACAGAATGGTTTCTTCATAGTACAAAGTAATTAAGTAATCATGGTTTAAATGATTATTCTAATAACTCTAAATGACTTTTATCTTTTTTGTTTTTGTTTTTATTTTGTCACTTATTTAAACTTGAAGTCGGCTGTTTCTTCTGTAATGCATTAAAATCAAAGAATCCATCTAATCCTTCATTTGCGTTTGTGTTTCAAAGAAACATTTGGTTAAGTCTAGTCATGTCTGACTCTGAGGGGTGGTGCTCATCTCCATTTCTAAGCCAAAGAGCCGGCGTTGTCCGTAGACTCCTCCTAGGTCATGTGGTCAGCATGGCTGCATGGAGCGCTGTTACCTTCCCGCCAAGGTGATACCTATTAATCTAGTCATATTTGCATGTTTTCAAACTGCTAGGTTGACAAAAGCTGGGGCTAATGACGGGAGCTCACCCCACTCCCTGGATTCGAACCACCGATCTTTTGGTCAGCAAGTTCAGCAGCTCAGCAATTTAATCTGTTGTGCCACCGAGGACTCCATCATTTGTTTTTGCTTTTCAAAGACGCATTTGGTTAGTGTTAGTATATTGGCTAATGAAAAACAACATACAATACATGTAAGGGAATACCATAACACATTGCTATTTCCTCAAGGCTTTTGGTCTGTTTTACAAAAAGGATTAATTTTGACTGTTTGCTCTCATGCCATTTGGTTTGTGCGTGTTCTCAGTTATTATGAGAACTATGGGAAAAATCTTTCCTATCCTTCCTAGTCATCTAGGCTGGGGGTTAGACTCGTGTCGTCCTCCAATGTTGTTGCTAAGGGTCCCAGCAACCTTTATTAGCATCACTATTTTCACCCCAACCCTGACCCAGGGCAAAATCCTGTTGTTAATCCCAAGTAGTCATTGAATCAGTCACACTTATATGCTTTTTGCAGTTTGATGTATTTTTAATACACCCAGTGGCATATTTAAATTCAATCAGGTTAATTGCCTTTTCATTCCATAAAACAATACTGCAAGCTCTCTTAGTTTTCAATATCATTTAAGGTTCTTTTTAATGTCAGGAGCGACTTGAGAAACTGCAAGTCACTTCTGGTGTGTGAGAATTGGCTGTCTGCAAGGATGTTGCCCAGGGGATGTCTGGATGTTTTACCATTCTATAGGAGGCTTCTTTCATGTCCCCACATAGGAAGCTGGAGCTGACAGATGGGAGCTCACCCTGCTCCCTTGATTCAAACCACCGACCTTTTGGTCAGCAGTCCTGCCGGCACAAGGGTTTAACCCATTGCACCACCGGGATCTCCTATCATTAAGGTGAAAGAACAGAGTAAGAAATTTCAATAGATGTATAGCAGGTACATTTTTAATATAAAATAATTTCACATATGCTATGATGAATTTGAAATTAGTTTACATGTTTGCCTTCCTCTGGTGGTCTGAAATTGTTATATATATCAACATATGCTGCAAATATATTAATTAACCACCATATACTAAAACACATTTAGAGGTGCTTGCAAAATTATAAACTCGTGTTATATACATCTGTTGCAAATATATCCATATACTAAAACACATTTAAGGTACTTACAAAGTTATAAACTTGACACTTGTTCTACTTAGAAATGCAGATTTTTATACTTAGAGGGATCTAAACTAAAGGAACAAAATGTGGCTGTAAGGCAGTGGTTCTCAACCTTTCTGATGCCACAACCCCTTAATACAGTTCTATATGTTGTGCTGACCCCCAACCATGAAATTATTTTTGTTGCTACTTCATAACTGCAATTTTGTTACTGTTAGGAATCATAATGTAAATAACTGATATGTAAGATGTATTTTAATTCAGTGGGTCAAATTTGGCACAAATACCCGATACGCCCACATTTGAATACTGGTGGAGTGGGGTGGGGGGACTGATTTTGTCATTTGGGAGTTGTAGTTGGTGGGATTTATAGTTCACCTACAATCAAAGAGCATTCTGAACTCCACCAGGAATGGAATTGAACCAAATTTGGCACACAGAACTCCCATGACCAACAGAAAATACTGGATGGGTTTGGTGGCATTGACCTTGAGTTTTGGAGTTGTAGTTCACCTACATCCAGAGAGCACTGTACTCAAACAATATAGATCTGGACCAAACTTCACACGAATACTCAATATGCCCAAATGTGAACACTGGTGGAGTTTGGGGAAATTAAAGCTTTGTATTTGGGAGTTGTAGTTGCTGAGATTTATAGTTCACCTACAATCAAAGAGTCCCTTGAACCCCACCAACGATAGAATTGGTCCAAACTTCCAACACAGAACCCCCATGACCAACAGAATGTACTGGAGGGATTTGGGATGAATTGACAGTGATTTAGGGGAGATGTAGTTCACCTTCCACCTTTCTGATGGGTCTTTGGCGACCCCTCTGACACCCCCTCGTGACCCCCCCCGGGGGTCCCGACCCCCAAGTTGAGAAACGCTGCTGTAAGGATTTGAAAGTTACATATACTGAAAATAAATGTTTTATCAAGATATGAATGTATTTCACAAAATAAGTGTGTACTCACGGGACCCATTCATATTGTATTAACATATTTGACCCATCCAACGGCCCTGAACGGTTTGGGACCACCCTACCTGCGTGACCGCATCTCCGTCTACGAACCCACACGATCACTTTGGTCATTTGGAGAGGCCCTGCTCGTGATCCCGCCTGCGTCACAAGCGCGCTTGGTGGGGACTCGAGACAGGGCCTTTTCTGTGGTGGCCCCCCGACTCTGGAACGCCCTCCCCAAAGATCTTAGACAGGCCCCTACATTGGCAGTCTTCAGAAAGAACTTGAAGACCTGGCTGTTCCGATGTGCCTTCTCAGATTAGGAATCTCCAATACCAAGTCCTAGAAGCACTTTAGTAGAATTAAGATTGCCGCACTCTGCACACTGCACTTACTTATAATCCTGCATACCTCCTGCCACATCAGCACTTTTAATCTTGTACCCATTACTCTGGCCCGGCCCAGTTTTATAGTGTCTTGATGTATTGTTTTTATTGTTGTTGTTCATACTGCTTAACTGTTTTTAATTTGCTTTAGGTATTGTATTGTTGTATTGTGTTTTGAGGCTTTGGCCTGTGTAAGCCGCATTGAGTCCTTCGGGAGATGCTAGCGGGGTACAAATAAATAATAATAATAATAATAATAATAATAATAATAATCTGCAATGAGAGGCGCTAGAATGCCAATGACTCAAATCAAGAAACAGATTCCTAAGATCTACAGAGATACTCGCAGGAACACCTCAGCAAGCGAGAGTCCAAAAGTGGCAGGCTAAAACCCAGCACCTCAATCAGTGGCTGAGACCGGATGAGAAACGCCCTCCTGGGCACACAGAAGACTGGGCGACCTGGAAGATGCTGAACAGGCTGCGCTCTGGCACCACCAGATGCAGAGCCAACCTTAAGAAATGGGGCTCCACATGTGAGTGTGGAGAAGAGCAAACCACAGACCACCTATTACAATGTAACCTGAACTCTGCCACATGGACAATGGAGGACCTCCTCACAGTGATACCAGAGGCACTCCAAGTGGCCAGCTTCTGGTCAAAAGGACATTTAGTATAATGCCAAGTTGTAAACTTTGTGTTCCTAAATACAGTCCAACTGTACCCTCGGCTCGCTTCTGATACGATAAATAAGTAAATAAAGCCATAGAAAGCCCTCTAGTGGGGTGGCTAAAGGTGCCTGCCCTTTGCCCCTGCTCTGTGGCACTCTCTGCGACTGCCCGCTTTCCTCCTGCGACGCTGGCCCTTCTCTCCATCGGCCTCTCCTTTGCCAAGAGCCGCCCCGAGGCCGCACTGCAGAAGGGGCGGGACCGGGCGCCTCCCCCTGGAAGGAGGCTGCCGATGAAGTCACTGTTGCCGCCGCTGCTGCTGCTTCGGGAGAGAGGCGCTGGAGCTCATTTGACCCGAGCAGACGGAGGGACGAGGAGCAGAGGAGGGCCAGGAAAGGCAGGCCTAGCCGGAGAGGGTGGGAGCGCTTCTGGAGGGCACCTGCTATTGTTGCTCCCGACGTCGCCAAGGCTTCCCGATCGGTTGCGCTCTTCGAAGGCGCCGCGAGCCTCCCTGAAGCTCCTGCCATTTCTCTCTCGCCAGTCCCCGGGACCGAGATGCCGTCGGACCGGCCTTTCAAGCAGCGGCGGAGCTTCTGTGAGTCCCTAAGAGCGCGGGGAGAGAAAGAGAAAGAGAGAGAGAGAGAGAGAGCCTTTCTGTGCCTTTCCCCACCCAGGCCCTGGGGAAGGCAGCGCGGCGCCATGGAGAGGAGGAGGGGGCCTTGGAGAAACAGCCGTGGCTTGAAGAGGAAAGGGGGTCTTGCCCCCTTCTTGCCCCCGCGCCCTTCCCCAATCCCCCTGAGGAAGCCAAAGGCACAAAATGGGGCTCCTCTGGTCGGGGGAAGGGGGTGAACCAAGGGGGGCGCAAAGGGATCCAGAGGCGCTGCGCAGAGGGGCGCTTGGTTTCCTCCTTTTCCTCCTCTTTCTTCTTCTTCTTAGTGCTGTATATATATATTGGGAGGCCGCCAAGGAACGCCAGGTGCTAACGGGTATATTTTGGGACATGGAACTGGAAAAACCAGTATTCCTTACCCTAAAAAATCCCTATGCAAATTCATGGGATCGTCATAAGGCATCTTGAAAGCAGAGATAAGATCTTGCCTTGACCTTTCCTCCCAAATAAATGCTGCTTGCTAGAACTTTTGGAAGCCTTTGGGGACTTTCACTCAGGCAGGAGATTATGGGAGTGGCAGTCCCAAAAGAAGGCCCTCCCCCAAGAGCAGGCACGGGCAAACTTGGGCCTTCCAGGTATTTTGGACTTCAACTCTCACCATTCCTAACAGCCACAGCTCCCTTCCTTTTCTTCCTCAGCTGCTTAAGGAAAGGGCCTGGGGCTGTTAGGAATGGTGGGAATCGGAGTCCAAAACACCTGGAAGGCCTAAGTTTGCCCATACCTGCTCTAGACAGGAAGGAATTGGCAAAACTACTTCAGAGTACCCCTTGCCTAAGCAAGCCCTATGAAGGCTCACAAGCACCCAGGATGCCTTTTTTTTCTCCCCACCTTTCTGGAAGCCCCTCTGAGCTTTAGTTTTGCCATGGGAATGCCTAGTGACAGGAGGAACAAAAGAGGCGTGTTCACCCTTCAAGGTGCCCCTTTCCAAACAGTGTACTTTGCAATGTCTTTGTTTTCCCCCCTGTCATATCAACATATATTTTGCAATCCTTCAAAAAAGGCAAATATTGGGTTGTGCACTCGTCCTTTTGCCTATTGGTTAGAGGAGAGGACAACCCAGATAGAGTTGGTTCTAGTGTGGCAAGTGAGAGGAAGATTTGTCCTGGTTCTAGTATTGAACTGAGCACCAATTCCTCACAATACTAGAGAAATGGTGTCCCTTTGCTGCTGCTGACTGCCTTTCCCATCTTCCCTAGTAACCTGAAACTCCCTATTCAAATAACTGTGGATGTCCCACCCCTTGGAAAACTACTGGGCTCCCCAGATCAGAGGGGGAGGAGCAACTGGCCAGGTTGACTCTTTGTTTTGCTTCAGTGTTCAGGTTTCCTGCTGCTGAGCCAGGCAGGGCAAGGAGGCAGGAAGGAAGCCAAAGGTAATTAGCTGCTGCTGCAGCAGCCGCCCGGCTGGTGATGTCATTGCCTGCAAGTGGAAGGAACCCGGTTCGTGTGGTCCAAACCGCTGCAGGGATGAGCTAGGAGAGCGGAGCTGGAAAGCTGCTTCAGAACCAAAGAAACCCCCGCCTAGATTTAGCAGGAGCCAAGTGTTTTGTGGGAGCACAAGCATTTGAGACATTTCACCAGCAGCACCACGGCTTAGAAATCTTCCCTGTATGCAGTTGGAGAGAGCAGGCGTGGCCTGGCTTTTTCCCAGATGGAAACCTCTTGTTCTGTGTTTGCCCTTAGTGCTTTGGTTTTGTGATTCAGAAGTGAAGGAGAATCTGTGTGCAATATTCCTGCTTCTTGGCAGGGGGTTGGACTGGATGGCCCATGAGGTCTCTTTCAACTCTTTGATTCTATGAGAGCATAAATTTCATGTTAGTGGAACATTTTTAGACTGACATCATTTCGCAACACAGTAATTCAGTTTTCCAAGAAAACCAGAAGTGAAACGAACAAGAGACACAGACACATACATAAATTGTAATAATGAAATGTATGGGGACAATACATATCTCATGAAACTGGGTTGCTGTGAGTTTTTCGGGCTGCATGGCCATGTCCCAGAAGCATTCTCTCTAATGTTTCACCCACATCTATGGCAGGCATCCTCAGAGGTTGTGAGGTTCCCCAACAGGGGAATTCCAGACAATAATCAATCAGGGCCAGCTGACACCTCCCAACAAAGGACTCCCCAGGCAGCAACCAGTTAAGCTTTGAAGCTGCAAAGCCGTTACATGTTAATCAAGGTGGCCAGTTGCAACATTCACACTTGCCTCAAGCAGACAACAGTTCTTTCACCCTGGACATTCCACAGATATATAAACCTCCCTTGCATAGTTTCCGACAGACCTCACAACCTCTGAGGATGCCTGCCATAGATGTGGGTGAAACGTAAGGAGAGAATGCTTCTGGAACATGGCCATACAGCCCAGAAAACTCACAGCAACCCAGTGATTCTGGCCATGAAAGTCTTTGACAACAAATATCTCATAAAAGTCTTTCATTTATATATTTTAAATGATATTTTTTGCCTATTTCTTATAGACTTGGAGGTTTCTTGTTACATTTGTGTGATGCACACAGCAACCAACACACTAATGTGTCTGACACAGTTCGGAAAGCTCTAACTTGCTGCGTAGATGGACCTCCAGAGCCCTAGTCATCAAGAGGCTTGCTCAAACTCAAGGCGTAACCATCCTTTAGAAAATCAATCCATCCGTATTGCAGCTTTCCTTTTCTCCCACTTTCTTTCACTTTAAAAAATTGAATGTTATGGGCTTTCAAATGGCAACTTGAAGAACCAGTTGAGTGGCTTTAAAGTGTTCAGCTGTAAAACTGTTGTGTTTGTGATGCTTCAGAAGATTATTTACCAGGTTTGCATTTCCTCTTAGTTTGTTGAATTACCATTAATTTGTTACTTTGTTATACTTTGTTAAAAACAGTGTTACCATGCAGAAGATCTGCATTGTGTCTGATGCAAGTTTAGAGGGATTTTTTTGCATGTCAAAGCATCCTTTGTTTGTTTTCATATATAGATTGTTATAGTTGCTGCATAATATTGTTATATTATGTTTATAATAGTTTCTAAGGACAGCTTTTAGTAGCACATGCTGTACTCCCTGCCTTGGGTCCTGCGCTTGGAACTCAAGTCAGAAATAAATGGAATGCTAGTACAGATTACTGAAGATGAGTATTATGGGCATCGTTATTGTCCCTTTTTTGTAATGAAAAATGCTGTGCTGCAGCCTTTTCCATGTGACACTATAAATGCTTCTGGTTTACATTAAAAAAACACAGCAAAATCCTCTCTAGCTCAGACAAAAGTTTCATCAAGTATTTAATTTTTCAACAGTGGCTAGCTATTTAGGTTATTATTAAAAGTATTAATTGCTTTTTTTGGCTTACCAGGGCTCTCAAAAAGATAAACAGTACTATAATGTATTACATACACTTCTTTCAAAGTAATAATAATAATAATAATAATAATAATAATACTTTTTTTATAACCCACCACCACGCCACCATCTCCTCAAAGGGAATCAGGGCAACTCACAAAAGTACTTAGTAGTGCAACACACATAAAATACAGCAAAGTGCATGAGCATATAAAACAATGACAATATAAATTTACATAACAAATTTACATATCATATAAAACGCCTACTGATTTAGGTTAAAAACAAATGTAAAGTTCACTTTTATAGAAACAAATGACTAAACAGAATAAGAGTGGGCCCTTGGCGTCCCATTCCAGGATCCCCCTGTGGATACCAAAATCTGTAGATGCCCAAGTCCCATTATATAAAATAGTATAGTAAAATTGTGAACCTTATATAAAATAGCAAAATCAAAATTTGCTTTTGGGATCCCCCCCCCCCCCCCCACACACACACACATTTTAATGCCATGGCTGTCTTAAATCCCTTGATAGAGAATCCACTAAACTGATCACCAGAGATAAATTGTCTCAGAACATGGAAGATATATTTAATTGTTGTTATTCTTCCACAAACATTTATTCTTTTTTGAAAATGAAATTTTTGACAATAAAACACACACAAAAAGAGTACATAAACATAGACACACTTAGACAACAATTGCTTAACTGACACACATCTCTATAACTCTAAAACTGTCGACATATCCATACATTAGTTTTAAGAGTGGATTTATTTATTTATTGACAATATTTATATTCCATTCTTCTCAAAGGAGACTCAAGGCAGATCACAGAACACAAACATTAAATGCTGTTTGTACACTGACAAGACAGACAATTGTAAATAGATACTGATAGAGGTATATGTAGGCTTTTCCCGTCTTCAGCATCTTGGAGGCTTGTGCTCGGTTCCAGCCATGGGGGAGGGGTGTGTGCTTCATCTCCCCTGCTGAAGAGATTTGTTTGTAAACTTCCTCCTTGATCGACTTGCTGATATTTTCTGGCATTTTCTTATGGGTGTCTTAAATACCTCCTCGCTTTAAAGCAGTACCTATTGATTGTAGGTTTGCCTTCGACAAAACATAGTACCTATTTATCTACTCACATTTTGCTTTCAAACTGCTAGGTAGGCAGAAGCTGGGCTAAAGGCCAGGAGCTCACTCCAACCTGGACTTCAAACTGTCAACCTTTCGATTGGCAAGATTTACTGCAGCTGGTGGTTAACCCGCTGTGACATTTTCTGTCTCCAGAGCTGTGCCATGAACATTTCTAATCCTTCTTAAGAGCCATGCAGGAATGCATTCAAGAAGACTGCTTTATCTCATGGCAGAGAATTATGTGTTCATTATAAGAAAGCATTTCCTTTGTCCTGCATCCCTACTACCTCTCAATGTCACTGGGCAAACTACAGTGTTGTATGAGAATAAGACAATGTTTTCTCTCTTTCAATACATTTCATAATGTTCATAATATTGTAAATCTCTATCATAGCCAGAACAATCTGGCCTTTTATGTTTATTTGTGATACATAACAGTTGGAAGAGAAT